CAGTAGGAAGAAATGCCCCCACGCTCTCCCCGAGCCAGGAGGTGACTCCATCCAGGTCAGTCTAGGTGGTGGTTCCTGGGTAGACAGCCAACGTTGGAAGTGTGAGACAAGCTCCTGAAGAGGGACATCAGTACTCAAGGCCTTCGGCTGCTGGTCACCAGATGAGTAATAGTCAGAAGCTGGGAGGGAAGTCATTTGCTCAGTCACAAGACAGACTGGAGGTAGAACTGGGGCCACAGATGAGCTTTCCAAGCTGATGACTAATTTTATGTGTCAACTATAGAGCTCTCACCTGTGGAATTCTCAGGATGGACTACTGCTGGGTGTGTCTGTAAGGGGGTTTCAGGAGGAGGTTAGAGTCTAATATGATGGATCTCTTGAAGAACAGCTTTCTGTGACTGTGTCAATACACCCGAGACAATCCACTTAAAAGGAGGAGGGGCTTGTTTGGAGTGTTAACTCTGAGGTGAGGGAGGTCTCGATCTGCCATCACTTGGCCCTGTTACTTTTGGCCTCTGGCGGGACAACACATCCTGGTAGGAGCCCAGGGCTGAGGAATCCTGATCACCTCATTCCTGAGAACAAAAGAGAAAATACACACTATACACAGCCACAGTTGCCTGAGACTTCTCACTCAGTCTTTTCTGGTGGTGGTGGGCTTCTTTGTTTGTTTTGTTGTTTCGCTTTTTTCCAGACAAGGGTTTCTTTGTGTAGCCCTGGCTGTCCTGCAACTCAATTTGTAGACCAGGCTGGCCTCAATCTGCCTGCCTCTGTCTCCAATGTGATTGGGATTAAAGGTCCGCGCCACCACTGGCATGAGATCCCACCTCTCAATGGTTCTGCCGTCTCTCAATATTGCCAGGCTGAGGACTAAGCCCCTAGGACAGTGTTTCTCAACCTGTGGTTGGGACCCCTTTTGGGGGGTGGGGTGTCAAATGATACTTTCTCAGGGATCACCTAAAATCATCCTGCACATCAGATACATCATGTAGCAAAATTCCAGTTACGAAGTAGCAATGGAATAATTTTGTGGTTGGGAGTCGCCACAACACGAGGAATTGTATTAAAGAGCTGCAGCATTAGGAAGGTTGAGCTCTACTTTAGCTCATTGGCTTTGGGAGCAGGGGAGGGGTGCCATTTAAAGGGCCTGATGAAGACAGATGTGTTTGCTTATGATACATAAGGAGAGGCATAAAAGAAACGTCTCTCTGTTTAAACTCAAATTAAGGTTCAAAAATGCAGGCTAAATATTGCCAAGGGGAAATGATTTTACAAAACGATGAACAACCGATGTAATTCTAAACAGACAAAACATGCTTCTTCCATCTCTGGCGGTCCTGGAACCCTGAAGGCGGATGTCCATGCACACAAGACTCCAGTTGGCACACGGGAGCGTGGCAGAGATCGGACCTGGCCCTGCGTCTCGGGCGTCACGGCCACCTCGGAACGTAGTTCTTCCAATCGGCCACCAGGGGGCGTGCCGAGACCAGGATCGTAACATCTGCAGGGGTCCGGCCAGATGTGTCCTCAGACGCAAGCTGGAAACCCGCGAAGTAATTCACGGTGGGACTTGCACAGCGCTAAGTTGTCTACTCACAGCACCGTCCAATCCAACATCTTCTCTCAGCACCGGAATATTTAGAAAAGTATATTTCCCATTTGTAAAAAAAAAAAAAAAAAAAAAAAAAAGTCTCAAAAACAAACAACAGTTTCTTCACCGTCAGTCAGGAGCCCGGCCAACCAGAGCACGTAGAGCAAAGCCACAGCCAAGCGAGTAGCCAGAGGTAGCATTTGTCCAACCCCTTCCTCACCACCCGCTCCTCTAGAAGTACGGCCGTGTCACACCTCACGAGGAATACGTTCTGATAATTCTGAGGTTCTGTAGGATGTCGGTTGCCCTGATGCCAACTCAAGTGTGTGGCTTAGCTGCTTACTCGACGTTACCTCATGCAATCAAGAGAGTGGGCAACAGCAGATGTGTTTGCACGCCAAAGTCTAAAGCAAGCTGCTCTCCAGGGAGCAGTTTGTTTTGCTTCTTTTTTTAGGATCCCAGGGACACGATCCAGGGCCTCTCACATACCAGACAGGCAGTCTGCACCTCAGTGAACGTTTTTCATAAACTCAGGAATGCACCCTGAAACAGTAATAACCAGTGCAGTACAGCAAATCTGTAATTCAGCAGATTGTCATTGTCATTGTTAGGTAAAGCGCGCTGTCTGGTGTGTGCTGTGCTTTTATGACTGCTGACTGAATAGGTTGTTTCTGATGTTTGAACAGTTACCATGCCACTAGGAGACAGGAATTTGTTCAGCTCTGTTATCATGAGACAGTCGATGGACGTGGTCCATACAGACAGAAACCATGTCAAAGGACTGACTAATACAAATACAAATACTAATACAGAGAGTGACAAGAATCACTCTTCAGAAACCTGCCTTACACCACTGTCTTGGTGCACTGCGGAGTATTGAATGTTGGTAAGGAGACACAGAGCTTAGCCTTCTGCCCAGGGTTCCATGGCTAGCAGGAAGTCACCAATCTGCATAGTGTTGAAAGACCCCTGGAAAGGGGTCCTCTGTGCCAGGAGGGGGCGCTCTATAATGAAAATAAAAAGAATATGAGAGACATATTTTGTTTTGTTTTGTTGTGGTTTTTCTTGGGGGGGTTGTTTTGTTTGTTTGTTTGTTTGTTTGTTTGTTTGTTGAGGCAGGGTTTCTCTGTATAGCCTTGGCTGTCTTAGACTTGCTTTGTAGAGCAGGCTGGCCTCGAACTACCAGAGATCCACCTGCCTCTGCCTTTGCCTCGGCCTCCCCCATTGCTGGGATTAAAGGCATGCCTCACCACGCCCATGGAGACACATTTTTTTGAAAGTGTTCGTGGCTTGATTCATTCTGTGTAGCTGGGTCGGTCCCGGGAGGCCAGCATTTACACCACAGCCCTGGCTTAGGCTGCAAGTGGCACCGTTGGACACAAATCTGGGTAGCATTTACTTACACAAGCGAAGCCCTGTTTTCAACCCTGGCTGTGGGTTAGTCACGAGGAGTGAATACTCTGTTTGTCGTTTGTTTGTCTTTGGAGGATAACGTCAAGTTCCCTGACATCCCTGAAATGTAATTTTAGTCAGAATCTCAGAAGAGGAGGCACATACACGCTGGCTTGGTTTTCGCTGGACTTTATTTTATTTTTTGAGATGGGTTCTCTCTCTATTGCCCAGCTGAGACCTCAATTCCTGGGCCCAAGTGATTTGTGTACACCACCATGTCCAGCTGATGTTTGGGGCTTCTTTAGATCTTAGTGCTGCAAACTAGACCGTGCCAGGCAAGCAGAACTCCGCCAAGCCCCAGCACCAGACCCTGGTGTTCGTTCTGCTTTTAGAGTCCAGATGATTCTGGGCTTCGACCAGCCTCCGCGTTGCATAGATTAAGAAACAGCCCTAGCAAGAGGATATACGTGACTAAATGTCAAATGTCCTGAAAGCAGAGTCCAGCTGCACAGATCCAGTGCAGTCATAAAACATACAACAAATGCTCAGATCTTGGTGGCTGTGGGCACAGCTCGGTGGTTAAGAGAGGTGCTGCTCTTCCAGAAGACCCGGGTTCTGTTGCCAGGGGCCATGCCAGGTGACTCACAACTGTTGGAACAGGCTGGTCCACCTCACAAAGAGACATGACATGAGGTCCCCCTGGGGCAGCACTTGGAAAGCCACCTGCTCGCACAGCTTACCTTGATGTAAGCTGGCTGCTGACCGGTGATCTTCCCCGGCATCATTTGACTCAACATCTTATTACACTCTAACGTAAGCTGGAGTTAATGCTTTTACATTTTTTTTGAAAACTACATTATTACTGTATGTGTTTATGGTGTATGTGTGCTTGTCCACGGGTACAGATGTGGGTGGGAATCCGCATACTATGGTATGTCTGTGAAGGTCAGTGGGCAAGTTTGGTTTTTTGTTATAACAATCTATTTATTAAGTTTTTTTTTTTTTTTTTTTTTTTAATATGTCAGTGCTCTGTCTGCATGTACACCTGCAAGCCAGAGGAGGGCATTAGATGTCATTATAGATGGTCGTGAGCCATCATGTAGCTGCTGGGAATTGAACTTAGGACCTCTGGAATTGAACTTAGGACCTCTGGAAGAGCAGACAGTGCTCTTAACCGCTGAGCCATCTCTCCAGCCCCTCAGTGGGCAAGTTTTGAGAACCAGTTCTCTCCTTCCACCTGTGATCTGAGGTTCAAATTCAGACCATCAGCTTTACACGGAAAGTGCTTTTATGTACTGAGCCATCCTTCCCGGCAGCCCCAGAGTTAAGCTTTTGTGAAGTCTTAATTGAGAGAACTGTTAGCTGCCTTTCTCCTTTCTTTCTGCAGTGAGCAAAGGACATCTTGGGTCATGCCTGAAACTCAGAAATTCAAATACCTCAGAAAACAGGTATTTCCCGCATTAACTGTCCTAAAGCTACTCCGATGTGCTCTGTGCTGCTGTGTCCTCGATGACAGACATTCCTGACAAGTCAGCAGCTCAGCCTCTTCAGCCTTCCTAGGCCAACCGTCCACCCTTGAACCGTGTGGTCTAAATTACTCTTAAGCCAAATGATTTTTAGAAATGGAACCGAGTGAGTCTGGGCATCTGTTGCTTTGGCAAATTTGCTGACGAATCTGCTGATTACCTCCTATCGCTTCCAAATAATTCAGCTTGAGCATCCAGGAGATGAAGGAGAAGCTTTGCCTCTCTGTGTAATGCCAGCATCTCGCCCCTCCATTTGCCTAACCTGGTTCTGTCCTGGTCACAACCTCACCATCTGCAGTCACACAGAAGAGAAACCCCTGAGATCAGGCTTTTCTCCCGTATCTCCCAGCACACCCACCCACTTGTCCGCTCCCCAAGCCCTCCCTTGACTCAGAACTGTTGTTAGCTTTGGGCGGGCAATATTCACCAACAGCACTGACCTACATTCCTACTGTTGTGGAATTCACCCAAGAAGACTGCTCAGACATGGGTTTAAGCCAATAGAAAGTCTTTATTAGCCAGCCAGCGATTACACTGGGTGTTTGGGATCCCAGTGTAGACTCGAGCCTTTCTTAGGATGAGTTTTTAAGCACAAAATCCATGTTCTGGGTTGACATACTTCAGTTTACAAGAACAGTGAGCAAGAAGTAAATCTACAGAAGCCAAAAAAGCAAGGTTAGCAGATTTAGAGACTTTCCTAGGGCTTTGAGGGCTTCGTTTTCATTTTTGGCCAGTGGCATTGTCAACATGCTATTTTTACAGCCCAAATGGTACTTCCATCATGGAGTCAGGTGTGCTAAGGTCTGGGGCTCTGTTATACCACTACATATGAGCTCTCCAGCTTTCCTGTTTCTACAGAATAGATGTAGAGAAGTATGTATCCTGGTTCATTTGCATTTCTGTAATTTACCATCGGGGCCTTTAGTCCATCTGTGTATGTGGTGTTAAGCTGCTGAAACCTTCTGGTTCTCTTTCCTTAGCATCCCCTGCCCTGTTGATTCTCATCTCTAGCAGGGCACCAGCTCAAGCTGTTTTCCTGGCTTCCTGTTCTTGGTCAACTGCTTGAAGCATAGGCAGGAGCATGTCCTGCCCCTGTGAATTGCCTGAAGAACCCTTAACAAACAGATTCCTCAAAGGGGGCAAGATCGGTGGCTCAGCACTTAGGACTGCTTCTGTCTTTGCAGAGGACCCAGGTTCTGTCCCCAGAGTCCTTCACATCACACCCTACCCCAGAGGCCCAGGAGGCTCCAAGTCTTGGCCTTCATCCCCATTTCCCCCACCTCTCCCGTGACCTCTCCAGTGCATTGTCCTAGCCTCCCTGCTCTCATGTCTCCAGCATTTAACTCCCACTCTGCTCCGCCTGTGGCTTCCTCAAGGCTAGGGACCCACAGGCCTCCTGTGTTGGTTAATTTTGTCAACTTGGACAAGCAAGAGGTGTCTGGAAAGGGAACCCAGTTGAGAAAATGCCTCTAACAGATTGGTGTAGAGACAAGACTTTGGGGATGAAGATAATGACGATAATGATGATTGGTGAGACAGAATCTCACTCTGCCATTCTGGCTGTCTTTGAACTCTCTACGTAAATGAAGCTGACCTTGAACTCACAGAAATTCACTTGTGTTTGCCTTCTGGGTGCTAGGATTAAAGGTGCCTACCATTAGGGCCAACAGTGGGGCTTTTTATTCATTAATGATTGATGTGGAAGGGCCCAGTCCATTGTGGACAGCACCACCTGGGGGGGGGGCCCTGCAAGGTATTAGAAAGGCCGCTGAACATAAGCCTGAAAGCAAGCAGAATATAGTGTTCCTCCTTGCTTCCGCTTCAGTTCCTGCCTCGAGTTCCTGCCCTGATTTCCCGAAACAATGGACTGTCATGTGGACTCAGAAGGCAAATAAACCCTTCCCTCCCCAGAGTTGCCTCAGTTTGCCCAGTGTTTCATCACAGCACAAATACAGCTAGAACACCTCCTGGATGCCAAGGCCTTGGCACACCCGCACACGGACCTCTTCACATTTGGAGGTTACTCTCCACCCACTCCCGTCTAATTTCCCCCCTGAGCTGCGAGCCGCTGGGGTTGCCATGATGCATCTCACTCCCATTCCGCTCTGCAGCCCCATAACCAAGCAGGAGGCCATGCAAGGGTCTGGGGATGAGAAAGAAGAAAGGGAAGATGAGGGAGGACCGTTCACCGGCCTGAGGATGGGGAGTGAGAAGTCGTGAGAAGCTCCTAGGGTTGGGCTTGCCAGACTGCTGGGTGGAAATCAGGAGTCCGTGGAGACACAGCTTAGATGTGGATCACCACCGAGGAAGTACTGAGTCCAAGATGGAGATGCGAGGTGACCAGTGCTGAGGTCTCCATCCCGTGAGTGGTGGCTGGACCCCACCAGGTGGGACAGAGGAGACACCTTAGAAACTGGAAGAGAGTTATTCAACAAATGAGCAGCCCAGAGGCAGAAGCCCTGAAAGGCAGGGCACAAAGCAGGTACCCCAGTCCACCAGCTCCCCCCACCCCAGGCCATTTCCTTCCTCCTCCAGGAACAGCCATCTTGTGTGCTGAACCCACAAAGCCACGCTGCCCCGCTGAGAGCCACACAGCCCGGCTTTGCCCTAGGGCACCTTCTCGCCTTGATTTCTCCTGGATGCAGCTTGAGAGGTGGCCAGGACAGTAACATTTCCCCCACACAACCCTGCCCCTACCCTTTACTGCTCACCTCGGCTCCTCTAAAATAGCCCTTTCCCTCTCTCTACCCATTGAAAACAAAATTGGGCAAGAAGTCAAAACAGACAATTACTTGGCTTCTGATCTTTCAAAGGGGCCTCTACTCTGTATAACCACAATAGTGGTGCACATACCTCAAGGCTAGAACTCAAAGCGGGGGGTGGGGGTGGGGTTAAATGAGAGGAAAACTATGACTAGGAGGGACAGGGCAGTCTTTTAACCTTTAGACCAATGGTTCTCAAGCTGTGGGTCGTGACCCCTTTTGCCAAAATTCTGTCTCCAAAATATATATATATACACTATGATTCATAACAGTAGCAAAATCACAGTTCTGAAGTAGCAACAAATGATTTTATGGTTGGGGTCCCCACAACGTGGGTTAACTATGAAAGGGTCACAGCATCAGGAAGGTTGAGAACCAACAGTCTAGACCAAGGATGACTTGGAAGATTTGAGCATGACCTTATTAGGCCACAGGTCTAACGAAGGAGGCATGAAGGAGGATGGGGAGACACTAGGTGAAGCCGGCCTCACTCCTCCCTACCCTTGGAGATGTGGCCACGTCCCTTAGCCTCAGACATTCAGTTCCCTCTGCCCCGAGAGGCTTCCGAATCTCTCTGCTGCTAGGGCGCGGCCACTGGGGCCTCAATAGACACGGTGACCCTCACGGAACCACAGCTTGACCGCAGCTCCCACTCCTGACTGGAATTGAAGGCCATGGCCGGGGAGTCTGAACCGGGCCTGGAAGGCAGCTGGATGTTGAGCCAGCGACACCGGGCCTCCTCGCAGGCGAGCGACACGGTGCCCTCGTGGTTGCTGTAGGCACAACGGCTGTGGGCTGACTTCCCCTCCGGCACCAGACCCCAACCGCCCACTGGCTCCCCGTCATCTAGGCCCAGGGCCTGGAAGTCGACCGGGCATTTCAGCTGCTCCAGCTGTAAGTTCGGCACCAAGAGGCCCTTGAGATAGGCGGGGCCTGCGCAGTGAGTGTCGGCGTTGAAGTGCCGGTCGCTGTAGAGGTGGAGCCAGCTGGTGAGGTAGGAGAGATGGCAGTCGCACTGCCAGGGGTTGCCCAACAAGGCCAGGTTGAAGAGGTCGTAGTTGGTGTCAAAGATGCCCCGGGGGATCGTGGTCAGCCGGTTCCTGGATAAATTGAGCGTCTGGAGCCTGGACAGGTTATGGAAGAGGGCTGGGTGCAAGGCCGTCAAGTTATTGCCATCCAGACAGAGTTTGACCAACCGCTTGAGGTCCCTGAAAACATCCTCAGGAAGGTGGGTGAGGGCATTATGTGAGAGCGTGAGGGAGTCAAGGCGGGACAGGTTGGCAAAAGTGTCCTCGGGGATGGTCTCCAGCTGGTTGTGGGAAAGGGACAGGTGGAGCAGGCCTGCGTTGTGTCTGAAGAGACCGGCGGGCAGGGTCCGCAGTGCGTTGCCTTTCAGGTTTAGGAAGGTCAGGTTGCGCAGGGAAGAGAAGAGGGAGCCCGGCAGGGAGCTGATGGCGTTGCGCTGCAGCCACAGCTTCTCCAGGCTGAGAAGCTGCGAGAACGCACACGGACACAGCTCTGTGAAGTCGTTGCCGTCTAGGAAGAGCTCTTGCAGGTTGCCCAGATGGTCCAGCAGGCCCTCGGGGAGGCCGGCTATCATGTTGTTACTCAGTTTCAACACCTGCAGGCTGGGGAGTGACTGGAACAGCCCCTTAGGGAGCCCTGTCAGGAGGTTCTGCGCCAGATTGAGGCTCCTCAGATACCACAGAGACTGGAATAGTCTCCCGGGCAAGGTCCGGAGTTGGTTTCCCTGAAGCTGGAGGAACTCCAGGGTGTCCATTTGCTGGAAGAGGTCGTCGGGCAGAGCTGTCAGCCTGTCGAAGCTCAGCGTGAGCTTCCACAGAGAGCTCAGGTTAGAGAAGATGTTGGCACTGAGGTTGGAGAGGTGACTGCCCGTGACCTCCAGGTCCTCCAGTTTGGGCAGTCCCCCAAAGGCATCAGGCTCCAGGTGACGGACCTGAGTGTTGAGGAAGACCAGCTTGGTCAGGTTGGGGCTACCGCTGAAAGCCCTGGTCCCCACTGTGGTGAAGGGAGTCTCCACAAAGATAATGTCTGTGACATGTGAGGAGATGTTCAGTGGGATGGCGGTCAGCTGCTCGCTGGAGCAGAATACCTCACTCCCGAAGCAGTCACAGCCCACGGGGCAAGGCAGGATGGGCCTGGCCAGGAGCAGGAATGAGGCCCAGCACAACCAGCCTCCTGGGGACATCTTCTGGATCCAAGGAGGACAGAAACAAATCAAGAAGAGTGCCTATGATAAGAGCATCATCATACTACAGTGCCCGGAGCTCTAGACAGTAGCCTTCCCCTGCCCACTGCCCACCCCAAAGGCAAGATCAGGCTGTGAGCAAGAATCAACCTCTTCAAGGAGGCCGTGGCTTTGGCAACAGTTGCTTGTGTGGGACATAGCCTAGGACTGAACCTAGGGCCATTTTATACTAGGAAAGCTTTAGCTGAGCTGGGCCCAGCCCCAGCTTAGGATTTTAGCAACTTGTTCCTACCACTTTCCAGCAGCCTTGTGGAGAGTAGTGACCTAGTTCTTATTCCGTGGAAGCAAAGGTGCCACATTGCCTGTCCCGATACCCTGCAAGTTAGTGGCCTAGGTCTTCTGGGTGTCCATGTTCTTTCCAGATCGGAGAGTGATATGGAAAGAGTCTAAAAGGTGATGGAGAGAGGCATAGAAAGTGTGGGATTGTTTGAGATCACATGTCAAATACAGACAGATGAGCCCTGAGGTGGAAATCTCTAACCCACAATCCTCCTGCGTCTCCAGAGCTCAGGGCACAGCTAAGAGGAGCCCTTACCCCCGTGCTCTTAGCTGGGTCTGCTAAAGGTGGTACAGTGTAGGGACTGGGCTCCTCAGAACTGAGCCAAGCATTGCCCTCCTGCCCCACCTGTCCCCCACGGTCCCAGTACTGGGGAACTTTCGAGGGTCCAGACACAAAGGTTCCACAGGAAACCCAGGAAGGCCAAGCTTTTAGTTTTCTAAGTTTTCATTCCTTAAAGAAGTGGCTCATACCAGTGTGTGCACCATACATAGCACTCTGGAGGCTGGCGCACAGATAGGCAGGAGTTTGAGTTTTAGGCCAGCCTGGGCTACCGAGTAAGTTCACAGCCAGCTTGGCTGTATTGAGAGATCCCAACTCTAAACAAACAACTACAAAAGAAACCCGTAAGCATCTCTGAACAGATCACAAATGAGCATGTAGCCTACAGGTGCCTTTTGTTTAGTCCTTGGTGGTCTTACAGGTCACTCCTAAAAACTGGGAATTTCATACGGAATTATCTGGCAACAATAGGTTCACATTCCCACCTGGCAAGACCAACCGGGGCTCAGTAGCCCCTGCCCATCAGAAGATATGCACATTGCAAACCATCCTCACTTATCCACTTGACTGGTAGCGGTTCAAACCCCATGAGTTCAAATCCCAGGCTCATGGCTTTCTAGTTGAGTGACCCTGAGGTCATCACATGTTATCTGTAATTCAACTTCCTTGTATGCAAGATGGGGATAATAACAGTACTGACAATGTCACGGTCATTGTGAGCACTAAATGAGCACATCGAGAGCAGGGACACAGAATAAGCGAGTAATTAGGAAACTGTGCTGTCAGGCTGCTGGCACCATCATTACAAAGAGACTGTTGGAGCAACAACAGAAAGGTCATTAGAAAATAGCTTGTAGATAGAATACATTTGACTTTACTTTAAAAAAGAAAGAGGAAGAGGAGAAGGAGAAAAAGAGGAAGAGAAGAGGAGGAGGAGGAGGAGGAGGAGAAAACCAAACCCTTCGGCTGTTTCTCTGCTGCCCTCTGCTGGCTCCTTTGACTCCTGCAGACTCCGTGGGGTATGTTTACCCAACTCTCCAGGGCAGGGATGAGCAGCTTGGGAGGCAGCCACCCTTCCTGGGAATGAGTCTGTTTACACCCTGACTATCAGCAGGCCAGAAACGTTGCCTAGAGAACTCAGGAGCCTAAGAGGCAAGAAGCTCTTACTGTGTATATGCTAAAGGGTATAAGGAAGTTTACAGAAAATGGTCCCTCAGAATAAAAAGCTCTGTAAGCTGGGGATGTGCGGAGCCCTGAAGGCCTTTTCTCAGGGATGGTGACTATGGTGGTTTGAATGAGAACCCCCCCATAGGCTCATAATGTGAATCTTTGTTTCCCAGCTAATGGACTGTTTAGAGGGGTGGTGTGTGTGACCTCACTAGAGGAGGTGTGTCACTGGTGGCCACACCAAGGCCAGTCTCTCATTCTGTCCCATGGTTGTGGATCAGGATGTGAGATCTCAGCTCCTGCTCCTGCCTGCCTGCAGCCATGCTTCCTCACCTGATGACCACAGACTCGTCCTCTGAAACTGTAAGCCAGCCCCCACTCTAAATGTCTCCTTCTAGAAGTCGCCTTGGTCATGGTGTCTCTTCACAACAATAGAACAGTGATCAAGACAGTGACACAACCCAAGGGTCCCTCGGCAAATCACAGGCCTCCTGGAACTGCCTCGAGGAAATCTGGACGGTTGGAAAGTGCCACAAAAAGAAATGCAGGGCCTCCTGCGGACAAGTGCTACCCACTGAACTACCCAGGCTGGCTCCATCCTCTGGCCTGGGGCCTCTTTCATACACCGTCCTTAAGAAACAAGGGCTTGAAAGGCTCCTGAGAAAGGCAACTGTCAAGAATCCAGACAATGAAGAAAACAGTGGCCCCTGGTGGTTCGGAAATCAGGTGAGGCAGCTCCACCCAGCTGAAGGAGCACCTGGCCCCTGTGTGGCTGAGGGCACATGGGGCTGAGAGGAAGTCTGGGGGCCTGTTTTCTGACTCCCGAAGTTCTCAAACATGTAACTTGTTCCTTGGAGAAGCCTACACATGCCCAGAACAGGGAAATCGGGAGCCCCCCCACAGCATGAGACTCAGATACTACAGATCAGGTCCATGTCTGTGCTCTAAGAGTCTCTGCTGAGCCCACACGGCTTTTGTATTAGACGGAGAATAGGTAGGGATCAGCAGGCTAACTCCTCACAGTTACAGGCCTGGAGTTATCCCACCTGCTGTCTGTCCATGTCTGTTCCCACCTGAGTCTTGTTTGGGCTTAGACCCCGCTACCCCCAGCTGCCTTCAGTGTTCCACAGGCAAAGGGCGAGTGCCCCTGTGGCAGGGTCAGTCTAGGGATGATGGCTCTGGGAGAACTATCCACTCTAGTTCACATTCCGGTACCTGAGGCATGGCTTCAGATAGCAATGCAGACAGGCATGTGCCCTTGGCCTTGCCACCCTGGGAGTATTCTTAGGAGAAGGGCCAGAATAAAGCCCTGTCAGGTTTAGGACAAAATCTTCCTTGTCTGCAAGGACGGGATGGGGAGGCAGAGAGGAAACGACCCATTCTTAGCCCAAGACTCATGCCCATGGCAGAGCAACCAAGAGTTGGACGGTATTGACTCAAATCTCAAATAGCTGCGTACCTTGTGGATGATATACCCTCTCTGGGCTTTACTTTCCTCATCGTTAAAGTAGAGAGCACAGTACTATCTCCTGTGCGGGGTTCTCATAAGGATAAAATGAGAGCATACAGAGGCAATCCCAGCCCAGAGCTGGGTGTGTTGTGACTGATCTGGCCTGAGAGTGACCATGGTCCTCTTCTGCACAGCAAGATTCAGTTCTGCTCAAATGCCATCAAAGGGATGCTGAGGGAAACTGATGAGCTCCCCAGGTCGATCCACCTTGGAGCAAAGGGACCACTCCCCACAGCCCTGTTCTTAACACTTTTCTTCCTCAGAGACAAGAAACTAAACTGGGTGTGGGTGGTTCATCCAGTAGTTTCTAGCATCCCCACCAGTAACTCTGTTTCCGGAGAATCTAATGCCCTCTTCTGGCCTCCACAGGCAACTTCATTCATGTGTATACACACACACACACACACACACGTATGTTGAGTGCTGCCCTCAGCCTTGGCCAGGGAAAGCTTCTCTCCGCAGGGGTCGTAACTATTGAGTGTCGGGTCCTGAACGGGACACCCATATATGGATACACCCCAAGGTGCAAGGAACATCTTGGGGGGTGTGTGTGTGAAAAGTCCTTAAGAGCCAGAGGATGAAAAGAAGTACTGCAAAATGCTGATTTCAGGGCATGACACGGATGTTGCTCTCATGAACCCATTGCCACTGTGGTTTCCTGCAGAAGCCTGGTAAGCCAGGTCAAGCCAGCAGGACTAGCCAATGCTGCAGCAGGCAATATTAACTGGACTTAGTGGTTATTTTAAATAAATAAAAAAGAAAGAAACAGTCAAGGACATGAAAGTGCTTGGGGGGATTATTAGGCGATAACTGGGGGAGGGAAGGGACTTGGGAATAGATATGATCAAGATACATTGTTTACCTTCATGAAATTGACAAAGAATAAATAAAGAATTTTCTTTCTTTTTTTTTTTAAAGTGCTCTGGGCTATCCCTTTCTTGGATCCCCTCTCACTCTTGGGAGTTCTTTCTTGCTTTTTCCTTAATAAATCTACGTTAGTTTTGAATTAAAAATATGTACATATTTTAAAAAAATATTTTAACATCACACACATGCATCCACTTTAAGGGGAAGAAGAAGAAAGCTAGTTTATAAGAGATAACTCTATAAAACACTAGGCACAGATCTCAGGGGCCCCTGGGAGGTGTGAGGCTTGACCCCACACCCAACCACCAACTCTAGCACCCTATGGTAGTACTTCCTGGTCTGTGGCTCTCTCATCCGGCATTGCAAAGGATCAGGGGAGCTGGGCTCTTTGCTGTGTTGGTTTTGTGGGAAAGCTGGCACCTTGACATAAGAAGGCGGGGACCGCGTGCTGTCACCTTCCACTCTGCCACACCTCCAGCCCCTTGGTAAAACGTCTGTGCCTGCTGTTCCTATCACTGCCTGCTCCTATTCTATCCCTCCTCCAGGCCAGTTCCCAGCAAGCCTTCAGGACCGCCCCTCATTAACCTAGCAGGTCACTGGGACCTTTTGCCCGGTGTTCTAGTAAATTGTATCCCAACTGAACCCCAGGGGTCAGAGTCCTGCTGCTGTTATTTTGGCTCCCAGCTCTGCATCCCAGCACCTGCGTCAGAGCTGGGCAAAAAGATGGCACCAGGCTGAAGGAATGGAATGTTTGAGGCTCTCTGTGACCTCTCCTTATCTCTTAACAGAGTGGAGAAGCACTGTGGCTCTGTGGGCATAGCCTGTTCCGTGTTCAAATCCAGACGCTGTACTTACAAGCCATGTGGGCTCAAAAGGTTCCCGTCTCCCATCTACCTCAAAGCCTTAATTTCCTCATCCTAATTAGAATCCTAGCCCTTAGGGTAAAAATTAGGCCCTGATTAGACAGAACATTTAAAGCACTGCATGGTGCTTGACAAATAGCAACATTCAATTTAGTTCAAGAATGAATGGGAGCATCATTATCTAAGCCTGGCACTCGGAGGAAGACACTAATTATGTCGGAGGACAGGCACCAACAAGGGTGGACCATGAACCTGTGACCACTCTGCCTGCCCCCACTAACAGCCAGTTCCCTGCGAGCCAGGACGGGCCATCCTCAGCCTTAGACTCTGCCTGACACACCTTCTCTGCCCCTACCCAGCCAAAGCTAGCTGATCCACTCGGGGGCTTCTCCCAGGGAAGGTGACTGGCTATTGCAGACTTCTAAGGGAAGAGCAGCAAGTCCCTTTCCAGCGCACCAGCTGGGACCCAAAGCAAGATGTTCCCGCATCCCCACAGACCCAGGGGTGAGGCAGGAGGCCTACCGTGAGGGGCAAGGCAGGTGGGGCCAGAGCCCTGGGAAGCAGAGGAGTATTTCGTGTGTCCTGTGCTCAGTTGAATCCAGCCCCAATGGTGTCCAAAGTCCTGGGAAGGGTTCCTCCCCTCATGTGGATTCACTGTTCCGGGAATGTCCCCAAGGTCACTTGGGCAAGGCCTATGAAGATTGCAAAATGACCCTAAATGGTTCCCATAGACGGAGGCCTGATAGGGCTAAAATCCCACTGCAGCTATAGGCTTGGCAGCTCTAAGACCTCAAGTCAGCCGCTAGCCCTTAAAAAGTGCTCCAGGCTGAGCTGAGCTGAGGGCCATTTCCTTGTGAATAGGGTTGTGGGCTAAGAGGCCGCCCTGCTCAGCACTGAGCACTGCCACTAAGAGAAAACCTTTGAGTGTGTGTGCGCGTGCACGCATGCCTATGCGTGCGTGCATGCGTGCGTGTGCACTGTGAAGTAAGCATGGGAGAAGATAAGTAGAGGTATGCGTGTGCGTGTGTGTGTGTGTGTGTGTGTGTGTGTGCGCACGCGCGCGCGCGCGAACTAAGCATGTGAGATCGTGAGTTACGGGTGTATGTATGAAGTGAACGTGTGAGAGCATGAGTGGAGGCATGTGTGTGAAGTGAACACGTGAGAGCGTGTGTGAAGAGGTGTGCAGCGGGCATGTGAGAGTAGGTGGAGTTGTGTGTGCACGCATGCACTCAGGTGTACTGTATCTAATGAAAATGAGAGTAACTGTGTGGTGGGTCTGATGGAGGGAGGAATGTGTCGTGTGGGCATGTGTATGTGATTCCACATGAGCGCTCATACAATTTGAGGTGTATAGCATGAAGGGGTGACCAAGAGAGACACTACAATGCCTCAGTGCCAGGGGTCGGCCATCCAAGTAATCTGGGGCTGTGTAGGCGTTGCTTGCTTTTAGAAAGCTCCTGCAAAGCATTACTTTTTTTGCACGCAAACAGATGACGTCGCCACACTGCAAAGGCCCGAATGACCAATGGGAGGCATTTTCTTTCAAAACAGGCGGAAGAAAGAAGTCTTCAAAAGAGGGAGACCACCAGGAACCTAGTGTACCCCGGGCCCACCCTGGGTGGGGCCTGGCCAGGCAAAGGCAGGATGGTTGCCTTGAAGGGTGGCAGGGCATGGGACCTGAATCTCATGGGACCTGAGATTCACACCCAGCCTGGAGAGCAGCTCTGGTATCCGTGCTCTCAGGGCCTTGGCTCCTCTAGAAACACAACCGGTCCTGCTTGTCAACACGTCAGAGCAAACAAGAGGAATCTGGTGTCGCAGCAGCTTGAATTCTGACTTTTCGATTACAAAATAGGAGGCACCAGGGAAGAGTGTGTGTGTGTGTGTGTGTGTGTGTGTGTGTGTGTGTGTGTCCATCCGTGTGTGTCTGTGTGCCCAGAAGGATATTTGCAACAAGCACCTGTGGTGGCCTGTAATCCCAGCACTCGGGAGGCAAAGGCAGGCGGATCTTTTCTGTGTTCAAGGCCAGCCTGGTCTACAGGGTGAGCTCCAGGACAGCCAAGGCTACACAGAGAAACCCTGTCTTGAAAAGCAGAACAAAAGAGTCGCTTCAGGGACCCTCCACGAAATAAGCGTGCAGCTTTGAATCCTCTCCCCATTGTCCGGAATTCCCTAAGTGTGTCCCAGTGGACTCTGGGTGACTACGGGAGGACAGCCAGTCACTAGTTCACAAGGTCACTCTGGGAAATCCATTTTTGGCCTTGAATTCACTTTCTTAACCTGTCGGTCAGGCCAAACGTATTCTCAAAGTCCCCACTAGCCACAGTGGCCTATTGATATTACTTGTTATTTGTTATTGAGTCCCCTCCTTATTCCCCCCACCCCCCAGGCCTGTTCTCCACCTAGGATCAGCTTCCTGTGAGGAGCCATCCACCCAGGTCAGCCTAGATATAGTGACAAGGGTGACACACACAGGTGTGAGGCCCCTCGCCAGGATGTCCACAGAGAATGCACAAAGAACGCACTGACCCCGCACATACTGTTTATTGTAGATTCTGTACACCAAATCCGTTACAAGCAGCATCTAGCAAAGGACAGATTCCCCCAACCCTGCCCTCAAGGGCTCACATTCTGTGAAACCCTGGGAGCCTAGAAGTCTCTAAATGCACTGCCAAGCCACTTAGGCTGTCTACAGAGCTTGTCTAGTGGGGCAAGCGTGCTTGTTGTAAAAGGCAGAGCAAAGGCAACCGGCGGCAAAAGCACTCTCTCCTTAGGAGAAGGGCCCTGGGTGGTGCTCCATCCAGGAGCCACCTGATGCCCACTCTGTTTGAACCCCTCTGGAGGCTTCCCTCCTGAGACCATCATCCTTTTCTTCAGCGGCCAGATCTGCTTCTGGCTGCGGGATCTGGAGCCAAATCTTTGAGGAGCTTCGAGCTATGTGTAGGACACACAAAATGCCTGCCTCCTGGCTTGGGTTATTAGCCTGCTCTCCAGGCGCTTCCCAAGGCAGCAAGTGGATTCTAGGGTTCCATTCTGCCATCCGGATGCCTGAGGAAACTGTGTGGCTGATGGTGAGAAGCTCCGAGAACCCAGCTGTAGCCATATGGCCTGTTTTCCTTTGGTTTCCTGATAACAGCCCTGGACAAGCCATGCATGAGACCTTATCTGGGTGTTATCTGTTGGTCACTGTTCAGAAAAGGCCCCAACACAAAACAATAACGGTGGGACTAATTCTGCAAGGTGCCAAGAGGATGAGAAAGAGAATTCACATCAAGAGCTTTGAAGGGCGCCCAGGCCCTGCGTGTCTATTAGCATGCAGGCTCTAGTTGGTCTTCCTCAGCTTTCCTCCAGCATTGGATCCCCTCCTTGCTCCACGTAAAGGCTGGCAGTCCAGAAACCAGGGGGCAGACAAGGCACCCTATCAATAGACTTTTAGGGACCACAGAGCTCACTCCATCCCCCAAAACCGAGCAAAATGCATTACCCTGTTGGAAAGGCCCCTCCACCCACTGTTCCTGTCACCTCCTACCCTTACTACAAGATGTGGTTTGGAGAAACTGAACAGCCCGTGTCAATAAGGAGCAGGCCTGATGACTCCAACTGGACGCTGTCGTGGGGAGAAAGGAAAAGGTGGGAGCGAAAGGTCCAGGGAAAGGCTCCAGCACCTGTTCACTTAGCTCACTACCTGTGGGCTCCTGGACAGGCCAGTAGAAGACAGATGCTCCACCCTGTCCAGCCTTTGAGCCAGTGAGGTACACCCACCATCAATGTCAGAAGCGACCAGTAGTTCCTGGTTATGACTGACAGGGGACACCGGATACCGTGGATGTCACCTCTCTCCAACCCTAGCCCAACTGAGGCTGGACATAGCTACTAAGGAGCACCCGATGGTTCTGGGGAACACAACGCTCTACCGAGCTTCCGTCTGCAACAAAGCAGATCCGGCTCACTGTCTTCAGCCCAGGGCCCACCGGCAGGTCACAGTCAGCAGAACCATGCTCACACTCCCTCAGAGGCTGGAGACAGCTTGGCGAGTGTGTAGCAGTTGTTATAGATTCTTTGCAAACACTCAGGAGACCCAGATTGTGCGGGCTCTCACAAGCATCCCTTATGGACTATTCTGTTAGGGAACTGGAGGGGAAGCCTGCACATCAGGTGAGCTCCCCCTTGCCAAGACCCAGAGGGATTTCTGATTTGCCTTGTACACATCACCGCAGGTTGGAGATAGATTTTCAGATCCCTGTGATCAGTGGAGTCCTCCCCTCCGTGATAGGAAAACCTGAAATTCTCTGTTTCACTGTTTTGTTTTTACGGGATGGTCTTCTTATGTAGCCCTGGCTGTCGTAGAACTCTCTCTGTGTAGGCCAAACTGCCCTAGAACTCAGAGATCCACCTGCCTCTGCCTCCCAAGTGCTGGGATTAAAGGCGTGCATCACCATGCCCGCTTGTTTCCCTGCTTTTGCCTCTTTTGTCCCGGGAAAGCTGTGTTGCCCTGATCATAACTGTTTAGTGTGTGGAAATAGACACATGTGTAGCAGGAAACACAGCAAAGGCATGTTTTACTACTGTCACTCACAGAGAAAACTCTAAACCATCCAGCACAAAACAAGACCCCAGGCAGAAGGTTGTGCAGGGCCAGCCCACGCCCCCACTTGACCTTTTAGTGTGTCCTGATATCTGCTGTCTGTGAACACACCGTAGCCTAGCTACAGCTGGCTAATGTTGATGGAGGATTTGACCACAGTGTACAAGGATTCCTGGTTTCCATTACATTTGGTTGTTCAGCTGGAAGACCTCATCTCTGAGCTATTTTGCTTCTTCCAAGAAAAGAGCAAAAATTAGAAACAGATATGGGCATATAATGCCCATAAAAGGATCAGTAGGGGGGCTGCCAATGAACAGCTCAGGGCTTGCTGGCAGGGGAGAAGTGTGCTTGCACAGGCCACCTTAGTTCGGATGCTTCTGGTCTGGCCAGCTTGGCTGCCTCTTGTCCCCATTGCTCATACTTCTCTTTTACTCCTAACAGCCAGGCCTGGACAAGGGCTGCCGGTGGAGGAGGGGGGAGCAGGGAGGAGGCTGTGAGAATCCCACCCTGGCCCGTGGAAAGCTGTAAAGTCCACAGCATCCCCAGAAGTGCTCCAGAACAAGCTTGGGGTGGGGACCCTGAGAGAGTGTGCTCATCACACATTCAGTGTGGGAGAATTTGCAGGGCTGTGCTCTACCACACTCCCGCTTTCCTGTGTGTATGTGACACCTCAATACAAAAACCAGAAAGGGAAAGTGTATGGGGTGAGGGCAAGGACCCCTGGAAGCAGGTTACTTTCTTCAATCAGTTCCAATGAGTCGATTTTCATGTTCTGAGAACTTAAGCCATTCTGCTTGATTTTATACCGTAATGGGATTAAGATCTTTGAAGGAAAGCTTGAAGCTCTAAACATTCTTCTCTAAGAGGCTGAGTTTGTAGCAATAGATACCAATAACAACTCTGCCCAGGAGACAGCACAGATGTCTTCCCGTCTCACAGAGCACCCTCCAAGCCAATGCACAGAGCTAGAAGATCCAAACCTTCTTGCAGAGAAAACTTAGTCTGCCTCCAGCAGCAGAAAAACAAAGGGAAACCTCTCCCTTGAGGGGACAGAGTCAAGCCATGGCACAAAAACAGAAGCAAGAAAAAAGAAATCAGCATATATAATACTTTGAGGCATGGGTTGTCCCAGCAGAGAACTATTTCACCAAGTGAGCAGGCTTTGTCATCTACAGAGGCTAGGAGGGGCTAGGCACAGGGAAGCTTGTTCTTGGAAGCAATGAAGATTTGGCAGAGGGCTCCTCTGAAGGCCAGCTAGGCATTGACCTAGAACCCCCATGGATTTCTTTTTCCTTCCTTCCTTCCTTCCTTCCTTCCTTCCTTCCTTCCTTCCTCCCTCCCTCCCTCCCTCCCTCCCTCCCTCCCTCCCTCCTTTCTTTCTTTCTTTCTTTCTTTCTTTCTTTCTATGACCAATTCGATTCCTCTAGGAGTAGAAGGTCCTGAAATGCCTGCTTCTCTATAGAAGACTCAGGGACCATCAGAGCCTGGCCGTGTGGACCCAGGTTTGGAAGGTGAACGCTCACATTCCCGGATCCTCTGCTTTATCCCTTCCCCAGCCCTGCTCCAGCCCCCTTCCCTAACACTCATTGGGAGCCTTCATCTGCATCAGGACTGCCTGGCTCCTCTTTTTGCAGCAGCAGCAGCAGATGCAGGCAGCTAGGGAACAGGCCAAAGCAATGATGCCAATCACAATGGCAGCAATGGCCAGCCCACTCTGCGTGTCAGTCATGCCCCATGTATTGCGGTCATCAGTGGCTCCGGTGGTGGTCAGACCAGTGTAGTCTTCTACGGCATTGGGGATCTGTGTGTTAGAGGATATGGTGTCGGGGTAACTTGGTGTATCAGGGTAACTCGATGTGTCTGCAAAACGTGGTACTTCTGGGTAGCTAGATACATCAGGGATTGCTGGGACCTGGACACTGGGCGCAGGGACATTGATGTTGATGATGATGAGGGACTGCCCCCTGACGTTGTTGGGACTGGAACACACTGGAAGAGCATCTGTCCCCAACCTGGCTCTGTTGAGAAGGAGCCAGTTACGGAGTGGAAGGATACCTGAGTCACACCTCCAGGGGTTGTCATAGAGACGGAGCTCACACAGGTTCATCAAGTGATCAAAGATGCCCAAAGGCAAGTTCTCTAGATTGTTGTTCTGCAGCTGGATGGTCATGAGGCCGTTGACGTTGGCGAAGATGCTGCCAGGGAGCTGTCGGAGGTGGTTATTCTGGAGGGAGATGTTCTGCAGGTTGATCAGGCCTCGGAAGACATGCTCATCCAGGTCCTTGAGAGCATTGGAGTGGAGGGACAGCTCTCGGAGATTCGTCAGCCCATTGAAGGCTCCCGGAGAGATGTAACTGAGCTGGTTGTGACTAAGAATCAGAACCTGCAACTGGTGCAGGTTGCTGAAGATGTTGTCGGGGAGGGAGGTGAGGTGGTTGTTGTAGAGCCAGAGCTCCCGAAGGTTGGACATTGGCCCGAAGATCCCCGGGGAGAGCTCCTTCAGGGAATTCCCAAAGAGCGTGAGCTTGTTAAGGTGGGGCATCTGCATGAAGATGCCAGGGGGCAGCTCCATGATCTGGTTGTTGGACAGGTACAGTCTCTGGAGGTTGCGGTTATTGTGGAACAGGCCAGGGGAGAGTGTGCCAATCTGGTTGTGCTGCAGGGCCAGCTCCTGGAGGTTGCCAAGAGCATCAAAAGTGCCCATGGGAATGTCCGAAAGCCTGTTCTCAGCTAGCCCGAGCACCTGGAGGTTGCGCAGGTGCTGGAAGACCCGAGGTGACAGGTGGGTGAAACTGTTCTTTCCCAGGTTCAGCTTAGTGAGTCCCACCAGGTGGTCAAAGGCTCCTTCTGGGATGGCTGCCAGATTGTTGCCGTGCAATTGGAGTTCCTTAAGGTTACTGAACTGGGAGAACTGGCCTGGCTGGATCTGCACCAGCTGGTTATTGGACAGAAGGAGGGATTCAAGATTTTTTAGGTACTGGAAGGCCTCAAGAGGCAACATGTGTAGTCTGTTGTTGGCAAGGCTGAGGTAGCGCAGCGAGCCCAGGTTGCGGAAGGCACCTGGCATGATGTTTGACAGTTCATTCTTCTCCATCCTCAGGGCGATGAGGGCTGAGACGTTGAGGAACGGGTCCTCCGTGAGTTCAGTGATGTGCGTGTTAAGGATCTGCAGGCTCATGGCATTCCAGGGCAGAGGGGTAGGCACTGCCATAATCTGTGCCCCTGTGCACTCGACCTGGGAGGCCCGGGAACAGGTACACTCACTAGGACAGCCATAGTAGGCCAAGCTTGCAGCCCAGGCCTGGCAGCCCACCAGCAGAAGGAGATAGTGTTTCAGTGGCATGGCCTGTGTGGGAAGAGAGATGTGTGAGTCACGGTCACCTCACCCACCACCAGCCTTCAGTTTCACCAACGGCTTCAAGCCCCACCCTCATGCACCTAACTCAAAGCTCTCTCTGCTTTGGCCAGGGAGCCACTGTCCTTCAACTTTTGCCCTAGCAATCACCTCACCTGGAAGGCTCCTCACGTTCAAGTCTTTCCCACTCGGTCAATTTCAAGCCCAGCCATCATTTCATCCGTGAGTATTAGTCACACCCTTGTGCAAATGATAACCCCAACCTCTTTCCTTGCCACATCACAGCCAGCCTTAGGTGGCATTTATTTGTCTCCTCCCTAGTTAGCAAGCTATTTAAGGGTGTTATCTTACCATCCTATAGCTTGCTAAGATGAGGAAAAAAAAAAAAAAAAAAAAAACACCTTGTATCTTAAATATAAAATATTTAAATATAAAAATACATGTTTTAACTAAGTCTTTGAGAATTTCATACATTGTATTTCGATCCTATTCACTTCCCCCTCCACTCCTCCTCCAGATCCCTCCTGGATCCACCACCCCCACCTATCCACCCACATGTACCAATTCATGTCCTTTCTCTAATAACCCACTGAGTCCAGTTTGTGCCGCCCATATACACATGGGCATGGGGATCTCCACTACCTACCAGGGGCCGCACCCCTAGATAAAACTGTCTCTCCATCAGCAGCCATCTACTTTCAGTAGCTCCTCAGCTAGGGGTGGGGGCTCACACGCCCCTCCCCACCCACGCTGAACTGTTGCCTGGCTTGATTTTGTGCAAGTCTTCTGCAGGCAGCCACAGCTGTGGTGAGCCCTCGACAGGCCCCTCCCCGGCCTACGACTCTTAAAATCTCTCTGCCCCCTCTTCAGTGGTGTTCCCTGAAGAACTGTCTTATAACTTCTCTGTCTCTCAGCACATCTGACATGCTGACAGAATATGGATCGCCTCGTTGGAAAGACCAGATGGGAACAGAGATGCATCCATGGGTCCTGAGCCCCGGGGAAGCTGTTCTGGTTACAGGGAGGGGCGGGGAAGGCCAGCAGAGGGAGGGAAGAGTGAAGGCAAGAAGCTCTTTCTACCCTCTCTCCGGCCCCCCCCCCAAATAGCCCATGGCCACCATCACCACCCTGGCCCTTTCTCAGCCTGTCCCCGTGTGCTTTGTCTGGATTTAATCCAAGCCATCTGTGATAAGAAGCCACTGTCTGTACCACATGCTGTCTGTCTGGAAGAGGTGTCTGGGCCCCGGCTGACGCCTAAGGGTGTGGCTTCTGGTGTGAGTCCTGGTTCCCACAGAGAGACACTGGGTGGCCTGGAATAAGTCCCTGAAAACATAGACACACTTTAAGCTGAAGGGTGTATAAGTGGGTCCAGATGTCTCCTTAGACACAGGAGCCATGTACACGGAAGAATTGGCATATAAAGTCACCTATGGCAATGGTTAGTACAGAGCCATGGGAATTGCTCCCTATATGGATATTACAGTACTGTTTGCTTTTGAATGAGAGCTCTCAGGCCTCCAACTTCAGCTTCCTTCTCTGATAAACGGGGGAGATGGCCTCTGTTTCTTCTTGAGGCTGTTGTGTGGGCTAGATGGGAGGAGAGACCCAAGGGCATCCTATGCATGGCCACACTACTTCATGTCTTTGGGTTGTTCAGCTTACCCATAGCTTACACTCATGGCTCCCCAAAGGCAAGAAGTCCTCAAAGTGTCTCCAGTCTGGCATTCTTAGTCAAGGAGCTAAGGATTTCTGTGCACCAGCATGAGTATCCATGATGTCTTAGTTCAAAGAAGCCTGTAACTCCTGAGGCCTAAGCGGTTGCCACCCCTCATGATTTTATAGGGAAGCAAGAGGCAGGGAAACTGAGGCCTCGGTCTTAAGGCTCCAGTCTCCAACCTGTAAGTGAGGACTTTGAGTGGTATGCATTGCCGCTTCTAATGGGTGAATTTGCTGAGTAAAGGCAGGGGTGTCAGCCGGCAGTCAAGGCACACACTGTGTGTGGTGAGGGCGCTCTGCAGTTTCTCTCGATGCCCTGAGATCATGGGGTCCTGAGCCTGGCTCCCCACTCTGGCGTGGGCTTCCTACACCCCTCCATCCTCCAACAAACAAGCATCTCAGAAAGGCCCTACTTGTCCTTCAACCACACAAACGTCAGCTTTTTATTTATTCACAGCCCTTTCTAGCCCTGGCTTGTTGAACTCTCCTGAAGGACTTGTCTAAATATATATAGCTGTGGAGGAAGAGAAAAGAGCTCCATGGCCACTTGAGTCTGGTGGCAAAAGAATAGGAGGCAAGTGAAGCTGCTGACCACATTTAAACAGTGAGTCAGGTCCAAAAGAGAGCGAGAGAAACTGCTTAAGCAGAGGGCACATAAAGCCAGGCACAGCGGCTCATGCCTGTAATGCTAGCACTCAGGAGGATGAAACAAGAGCATCCCTGCAAGTCTGAGGCAGCCTGAGCTACAGAGTGAAACCGTGTCTAAAAAACAAAAACCAAAAAGAGAGGGGCTGGAGAGATGGCTCAGCAGTTAAGAGCACTGTCTGCTCTTCCAAAGGTCCTGAGTTCAATATCCAGCAACCCCATGGTGGTTCACAGCCATCTATAATGAGATCTGCTGCCCTCTTCTGGCCTGCAGGTGTCCATGCAGATAGGACACTCATATACATTAAGTAAATAAATAATCTGAAGAAAAAAAAATAATAATCTGGCACAAGTCATTCCAGTGCTGTGAGAGGAGACAGGGTGGAATCAGCAAAATGGAGGAGCTCCAAGTTCAGTGAGAGACTTTTTCTCAAAAAAGCAAGGTGGTATGCAATGAGGAGGACACCTGAAGTTGACCTCTGGCCTTCCTGTGTACACCTGGCAGGAACAAGTGTACACCATCCCCCTCCCCTCAACAAACACATACATACAAAAAGAGCACAGGAACAAAAGGGCTGGGTGTTCAGAACGTAAGGCCTCTTATTGGCGATAACAAAGAAACCCCGCTGCTACAAAAGCTAATGTGCTCATAGGCCACCTTAACGAAACTACAGAATGTGGAGCGGAGGAGGTGGCGAGCTTACCCTACACTCCCCCGATCAGACCACATCTTACTGCACTCTGGACTTGAAGGCCAATGACAAGCTGGTTTCTTAAAGAGCTCCCAGAAGAGAGTGAGAGGACAAAAGAGCCTAGAGCACCCATTGAAGGACCTACAGATGAATAGCCAGGAGAGCACCTAGGGAATCCATAAGCCTTTCTAGAATGTGAAAAGCTGCCATGGCATAAAAGATGCCGTTCAGATGCAGAGGCCAATGTTAGTGTGCCAGGGTCATGGCTCGGCAGGGTTCAGTTCATACTTGGTGTGCACAGTCTCACAGAGGCAGCAAGTACCAGGTTCAAGCATAGATGAGAGCTTTTAGATTAATGAGATGGAGAAAAGGCTCCCACCCCAACGAAGCGGTCAGTGGAGAAGACTGTGGAGGTCCAGCCCACAGCTGAGACCTCGGGTTCCATGGCTGTGTACCACAGAGTGGAAGTGAGAACCATCCGTCTCCCAAGAGGCTGTTCGGCCAGGACTCGGGTCCATTTCCTTGGTTGACGTGTGGGAGATGATGTACCCCTGGCTGAGGCCCAACTGCTCCTGGTGCTGTCTGAACTGCTTATTTTTCCTAAATGTTCATTTTCCCAGTTCCAAGGGTGATGTCACAGCCCAAGTAATGGAGAGCGATTACATGCCCATCACTTTGAAGCTCTACCTGCTGTCTTTTCCTGCGGGAAGGAGCTCCCCACCAGGACTAACTCTCCAGCTAGGCAGGGGTGTCAGGGCAGCCCCACGAAGCCTCTGAGCTCTGGAAGGGCACTCCCTAGCCCGGGAGGAACAACAGGGAGGCGATGATTCCCTGTGGGACCAGGCACTGTAGTCTAAAATGGACCACACTCAGCACACCAAGTATTGCAAGAATCCCCGCTGTCTTTTTAGGAATCCTCTCTGTCTCCTGAGCCCACCCAGTGCTGCGTGCAGCTGTTTCTTGTTTTCCAGTGGTTGTTACAGCTGGTGCCTCCCCCGACGTCCCCACCCTCATCCTCCTGCTCCTGACCACCTGCAGGAGCACTCCAAAGATGCCTGAGCCCTGCAAGGAAGAAACACCCAAAGCAGGCCTGGGGCTAGGCCTTGGACTCTTGGCAGTGCTACAGGCCATGGCCCTTGGCCTCAAGGAGCCAACATATGGTGACCTAATAGCCCACGCTGCCCAGTGCCGCTTGGCCGCTGTGACAATGGCAGTTAAAGGTCCTCAAAGCTGCCCTAATTACAGCTTCCTCCTTGAGGCTTCGAGTGCGTCCTCAATCATTTCAGCCAACCCCTGGGGAGGGGGTACACCTGGCGTCAGTCAGATCCACGTAGTCACAGAGCTGGCAGACAGACAGAAGGACAGGAGGCTCACCTGGACATGGACGCGGCCCCTCCCCAGGAGTGGAAACGACTGAACAAGGGCTCTGTAGAAACACCCTGTGACTCACAAGCGAAGGCATAATTAGCCTTGAAGCCCTGGGCTTTGCTGGTTGGGCACTAGGCCTTCTTGGAGTTTTTTGTACCATTGTTCACGTTCGTTAAACACAGTGTCCCCAGGAAAGAACTCCTTATTTAAACGCCACAAACTGAGACTTTGAGAGGGCCATGGAGATCCCTATTCTACTCTGGTCTTGACATTAACAACATGAGTTTAGGTGACTGCTGAAGGCCTTAGTTTCCCTTTCTGTAAAAGCTTCTGAAGCCCTTATAGTTCTACTGTGTTTCAGCTGGAGGCAAAAAAAAAAAAAAAAAAAAAAAAAGATCCTGGAATGAAGACATGAAGACTTGCCTTTCTACCATCTTCCCTTCCCCACAAAGAGCCCCTGGGCTAGGCCCCACTTGCGTGCCAAGGCTTGAAAACTCTCACCTCCTCAAGCCTGCTTGTTTCAAAAGTTCCCCGTCAGGGCAACTTCTGAGCTAATCTTTCTATCTGCACACAGAC